CAGCAGGGGGTTCGTGCAACAAGTGAGAGAGTTGCGGTGGGATGTTCCCCCGAAAAGACCCCAACAACCACAAAAGCAACAACCGAAGAGCCCCCGAACAAAGAAAGGTCTATCCCCGCAACTCACACAGTGCTCAAAATTCTTTTCCGCGCTCACTTCTCACTCCCAGGAGGACTTTGACTTGTTCTGGCGGTCGTCCTTCTTGGGCTTCCCCCATCGTCCTTGTCGACGAAGGTCCCGGCGCTTCGCTCGGAAGGCAAGTTTGCTTTGTACTTTCCATGCCTCCTTGACCCTGCCATTGTAGACTTGTGGGCGAGAATCAAGAGGTTCCCCCCGCTCGTTTGTAACCAGTTTGGGAAGACCACGTCGTCGGGGAAGAGGAGGGCGATCGTCATGCCAGGGCCACTCAGACGTGACAGGGATCAATCCCCCCATTTGCACGTCCTTCACATCGTCTTGGCCAGCTTCCCCCATTGGTGGGCATCTCGCTGGGTCGTCGGGGATTTGCCCCCCCAACTGCACTTCACCCGCGGTTTCATCGTCGTGTTCCCCCACTGGTAAGGGTCTTTCCTCCCCCGCAGGAGAGGGTGGCAAGGTGGGTGTTGTAGGTACCCATTCGCCGTCCTCTGTGTTGAGCCACTCTGGTGTGGAGAGGTCGAGGATTTCATCGGAGTATTCCTCCGACCCACCACCACGAGGGGGTTGGTTCCCCCACTTCCTCCAGCAGGCGTCATGGATCTTGTCGACCCAGGCTGTGTCCTTCGCAACCTTGTCCAGGAACTTTGTAGGTTGTCCCCCATTTGCACGTAGGAAGCGGAGAGTCGTGATTGTTTTTCCATATAGCTCTTTGCTCTGTACTCTTTCTGCGTGCTCTCTCTGCAGTTGCGCCTCCTCTGCATCGGTGTGGTACCGCTCCAGGGCCTCGTCATAGTGTCTCCCCCGCCTCGGGGACCACCGGAGGGGTCTGTCCCCCCACACCGGTTTAACATGCAGGATTTGGCGTAGCCTGCCCCGTAGTGCTGTGCCAGTCCATCGGCGCGTCTTCTCTTTCTTCTTCACCTGTCGTCCAGTATCGCCTTTCGGGAAGTGGAGGGTCTGCTCCCCGCTTGGTTCTTGGCATTTTGCTGAGGTAGAGGTCGCACATGCAGTCGTTCTTTGCCTCCCCGCAAAACGCCAAAGAGTCGGCACAAGGGATCACTGCGATCATGTGTCTTGCGGTATCCTGTCACGCATGTCCCCCCGGCCTCTCTGCAGAGTCGACAAACGCCTTTGTTGTTGGCTGTTTGTCCCCCCTTGTCCACGGGGTTTTCTTGGGAGCTCGCCATCGAAGAAGTAGAGCTTCTTGTGGTAGAAGAGCAAGTTCGCTATGAGTTCCACCGGGAGGAAGTATGCTCCTTCCCCCTACTGGCAGGCCTCCCCCGAAGGGGGCTGCGGTCAGGTTCCGGAGGATGCGCAAAACCCTCGGGGCCACTTCGAGAAACGGGCAGCGGATATCAAGACTCAAGCACCGCTGGGAAAGGTGTGAAGGCTCCCCCCAGGCAAGCCCAGGGTCAACCCCACACCTCCTCCCCCGATGCCAGGGAGCGTCACAGGCCCCCAAGGCAAAGGTGCAGTACTTGAGCCAAAA